GGCATCCTTCCACATGTCATGGGAACGTCCTCAATGGCTTTGCCGGTCTCCGGCTCGGTGGATAGGCAACCGCCGCATGACCGACATTCGCACATCGGAACGATCCGTACACATGCGTCCCAACGTGCAACGGGTGAACGGGAAATCTACAGGAGGGCACATGGTATGACTGCTCTGCAGAGACGAGCAGTGGGGAATGCATCCGTTACGCATGAAGATGAGGGGTTGTAACGTTCATTGGCCTGCTGCGAGTTTTAGGTTACCACGCTAGTCAAGTAGATTGTTCTGGACTCGAGTACTTTCGTGAGAGACGCTTCTACCAGTACATGGTGGCCTCTTGATCTGACAATCGCAAATTGCAAGGTTCCAAATGTGATATACCTGCAGGTCATTGAAGGAGAATTCGATGTCGCTGTGATGCCCCTATTGCAAGGACGATGAGTAGGCAACTTTGGAAGAGGTGTGCCACGGATTGTTAGTGCAGACACGGAAAGGAAATTGCATGTAACTAACAGCTCCTTCTGTGCTAGCATAATCAGTGGTAGAGCATTGGCCTTCTGTGCCAGGATGGGATCGGTCAGCCATCCGTCCGCCAACATTATGGGTGGACGTTGGCGGTCAGACTTAATGGCACCACTCTGTCCATTGACGGGATTTTGAGGAATGCAGCAGAAGGTCAATCCCGACGAAGGGTGGGGAATGGACCCATCGGACTTTCTTTGATTAAGACGAGCCTGAAGGCCTCCGGTCTCAGCCTCGGAATGGGAGAACAGATTCTCCCCACTGACTAGCCATTATGCCGGTGAACCTTATTATCGAGTGTGACTGGTCGGGTCTAAGCCCGGCCTCTCCCAGGCTGGCGGTGTTGTCCTTGGGGGGGGGATGGGGATGACGAATTAGGGAGTGCATGATGACTCTTTTGGGCCGTGCAGAAGTGCGTCGGATGTGGGTAGTACATCACCTACGCAGGTAGGAGGTTGGCACATCATTCGCATCACCGTGAAGTGCAACATACAAAATCAGTAAACAGTCAACGCGGGACGGAAACCCCGGGACTTACCCTAAAAGAGTAGGAACCCCAAGTCGCAGGCGTCTCCACTGTGATGGAGGGAAGAAGCCATTTAGGGGAGAAAATTAGAGAAAACCAGCAGAATGGACAGCCCCTGTTGGTGAGATGTTGGGAGGGGATCCACTTCGTATCGCTGCAGAATGGTGGATCCCCGGCTGAGTCTGAGGGGGTGAGAGAGACACAGACTGACTTCGGAATTGCGAACACCCCGGCTATCTTAGTCTGGATAGGGAATAGTAATTGGGTCCGCCCAAGTATGAAGTAACTTTCAGCTTGGACGGCCGCACGTCAAAGCAGCAAAACTCTAATATCCTTTCAAAGGCTCTAGCGAGAGTCTATAGGCGAGAGGTACCACTGTATGTTGTATGACAGCCCAGGGTTAGTGGAGGGCAAAATTCCCGGGCCCGCACCGTCGCGGGAAAGGCCCAAAGTTGGCTCAAAACCGGATTCCCGTCATGGTGCCTTGGAGTACCTTTTTGGATGCCTTGCCCACAGTGGCCTCGACCTTGAGTTTTAAGGTTCATCCTCGTTATTGAGTAGACTCAACGTAGAGTTGTCATGGCGATGCGTGAATCACGCACAAAGTACTTGACCCAAGGGCTTACAGCAGCCGGGCGGCCGATCCGCCCCATCGTCCCCTTCAGCCTGGCCAACCACCAACTTTGGATTCTTGCTCCTCGCGTTGCAGAAAAGGCAGCGACTGTCTATCAGCGGGGTCCATTCTTCAATTGTGCTCGAATCATTGCCGCTGCCGCCCGTCCAGCCCTGGATGGTTACCAATTGACGCTCCAACTAGAGGGCATAGTTCGCACGGGCCCGGTCCACTAAAGGGGGCCTGTCAAACTCCACTGCAGAATCCGTGACCGGGATTTCTGGCGCGGACCCAAGCCCTCGGGACAACTATGTTGGCTGTCTGTCTGTCTGCCTGTCGGTCCCCCTGCTACCCACAAACGCCTATCTAGATATATCTGCACGTCCCGCCAGGATCCTTACCGTTTGGGGATCTCCTCTTTCCTCATGTATCTCCTTTGGCATCATGGGCTTGATCCAAGGCCTGGTAGCCGGCCTCTCATCGGTCGCTGACTCCCCTATTGCCTTGTGTGCTGTCTTGACGGCCACCTTAATTGTCTACTCCGTCGGATTGGGAATCTATCGACTCACCTTCCATCCGTTGGCCAAGTTTCCTGGTCCCAAACTGGCTGCTTTGACATATTGGTATGAAACCTACTATGAGGTTTTCAAGTCGCCTGGGGGGCAGTTCTTGTTCCAGTACCACAAACTGCATGACAAGTACGGTGAGTCACGAGATCATGGGCAATGCCAGAGCAAGTAAACTTAGCCAGCTGACATGGTCACTACATTCTGTAGGACCCATCATTCGCATCAGCCCGAATGAGATTCACATCAGGGACTCGCCGTTCTTCGAGGAGATGTTCTCCAATTCCCTCCCATGGAATAAGCCAGAACATCTCCAGTATCGCTTCGACAATGCCAAGGGTACCTTCTCGACCCCAAAGCATGAAGCTCATAAGCCCAGACGTGCTGCGCTCAACCCGTTCTTCTCCAAGCGGGCCATTACCAATGCTACCCCCATGATGCAGGATAAGCTGTACAAGCTCTGCGACCGGCTTCGCCGCGAATACCAAGGCACTGAGAAGGTTCTGCGTCTTGACTGGATGTGGGGTTGTATTGCGTCTGATATCATTGTCCATTACTGCTTCAACGACGGTTATGGCTTCATAAATGCACCGGACTTTCGATCCGTCTTTATTCAAGCTATGTTTGATCTACTCGACATGGTGCACGTTCTGGTCCAGTTTCCTTGGGTGGGAGTTATTATGAATGCACTTCCTCAGAAGTTTGTGGAGACAATGAACCCTGGCTTGAAGTCCATCAACCATTACAATAGAGTAAGTCCCTATACATATCACCAGGGCCCAGGGTCACTACTAACTGTTACAGGAAATGGCATCCCAGATCACGGATATCCTCCGAAGCAAAGAATACGGGACGATGAAAGAATCTCAACGCAAAACCGTCTTCAACGCTCTGCTTGAAGGCGGCTTGCCACCTGAAGAGCTGACCCTGCGACGACTCCGCGAGGAAGCCTTTACCGTTATCGGAGCTGGCTTCGAAACCACGCGATATGCTCTGGCCGTCGCCAGCTACCACATTCTCAGCACACCGTCAATGTACAAGCGTCTGCGCGAAGAGTTGATAACAGCGATCCCCGATCCGACCAACTTCCCTCCCCTGAGTGAGCTAGAAAAGCTCCCCTACCTGACGGGATGTATCCAAGAATGTGCGCATTTTCTCCCTTCCGACTTGCTGCATACTAGTACCACAACTAACCACAACACCTACAAACAGGCATCCGCATGTCCTACGGCATCGTGCAACGCTCACCCCGTGTCAGCGACAAATTCCCCCTCATCTACAAGACCTGGACTATCCCGGCAGGCACCATCATCAGCATGGACAACTACTCAGTCTCGCACGACGAAGCGATCTTTCCCGACTCGTTTACCTTCAAACCCGAGCGCTGGCTCGATGACCCTGTCGCGCCAGACGGGCGGAAACTCACACGATACCTCGTCTCGTTTGGTCGTGGCACCCGCTCGTGCCTTGGTATCAACCTCGCCTACGCGGAAATGTACATTTCGCTGGCGAATGTGTATCGGAACTTTGAGTTTGAGCTGTTCGAGACGGGGCGTGAATCGGTGGATGTCTATCGAGATATGTTTCTTCCGCATCCGAAGCCGGGGACTCAGGGGGTGAGGGTGAAGGTGTTGTAGGGTACTTGTATAGGAATAGTGATGCAGTGATGGCAGGGGTATAAATATTTTGCAATATACCATCATAAGTGCATGTTTCGCGCAATTTGTTCCTACTACAACTATTTTATTTCTTCGGACTACTATAGTAGTCCATTGTACAAGTCGCATGCAGGACGAAGAGATCCGAATATGTCTAGCGCGCACACATCACTAGACATACAGCATGAGACTATACCAATATAAGGCGAAGGAACATGTCATGCGACCGCGTACTTAGTCTCTATTCCTACCCCATACTCTAACCTATGGATGCCGAGCTTCATCAACACGTCAACCCCGACCATACACAATTACAACCCACTAGAATGAACAACCACGTCTTCGTACATACCTTGCCCATCTTTCCTACATCATAAATCAGAAGTACACGTATATCCCCGAGAACAGCCGAACGCAACTTAGCCCATTACACCGATCAGATTACACCATGCCTCTTCCTGCATACTGCGGAACGCCACAGTCAATATATATCTTTGTTTGCTTTTTCGAAGGCGGGATATAGCGCCGAACCTTACGTCCTCCCAGCCTTTGATTAGGTTCTTTCTTTGTCTGATTTCGTGCTGTGCAGGTGGGTCATTATTACTTACTTGATTAATGGGAATATTCGGGTGTATCTCCGCGGGAGATAGAAGTTGTTGGGAGGGACTTATGTGCTGTTATGGGTGAGGGGGGGTATGAATCTGTAGGGATGCATGCCAAGTACTTTGGTAGTGGTGATAGGTGCGCTGGTTTCACAAAGAAATAGTATAATGGTGACATACATGCATCGCTTCCGGTGGCCCGGCGTCTGGGTGTGGTGACCAGCATGATTCCTTGACAGTATAGCTTATGTGGAGTCTTAGAAAAGCAATTTGCACATCATAATGTAAATATGCATGACTTGCAAGGGTGTGTGATGTATTCCATGCAATGTTTACGTTTATTCTTAAGCGTATGACCCCGATTATATATCCACATATGATTGATTAATTGGGCTTATTGAATCCAACAAACCCGTGAATTTGATGGCTACAGTATCTAGGAGGATTGTACTATCCTGGAAGATGTAACAGTGAACATTATACTCCTCTACTATACATTTTTTTCAGAATACCCACTTACCGAACACCATACCACCAACCCAAAAGCACAAATATACCTCAATGCCATGGCCCAACAGCTCGAATATCAAAACACAGACCTCCCCACCCATACTCCAGACCCCAACACCAACACCATCCCATCCCACTATCAAGAAAAATTCCCCTAAAACTCCTCCGGCGGCCTCGTAATCCCCGTCAACTTATCCCTAAGCAAGCCAAAGCATTAGCCCAATTCCTCTCCACCCCAACCCCCAAAGCACCAGCAAAAGAAACAATCCGCAGAACATACCCATTAACCTTCTTCATCAACGCCCCAAACCCCTGGTGATCATAATCCTTCTCACTCCACATATCCTTATGATAAACCACTCTCTCCCCATCCTCCCCACCCTGTAATCTCAAACTCACCAAACTATCCTCCGTGCGGGACGCTCCAATCCCCCGAAAGGTATACCTCTGTCTCTGCTTCCAGACCATCTCATTATCCGTATTCGACACCACCTCCGTCCCTAGATTCTCACTCTTGCTAAAGAGCTTCGGGATGCCGTACCATTGGCCGGCGATTTTGTACCTAAGTACCGGATTCCCCTAGGGTCAGTATAGGGTTTCATGGGATTGGGTGATGGGGGTGGGGGGGGTGGACTACTACCGCGTATCACAGTAACTGAATGGATCGTCGTAGACGGCTTGCTCTGCGTAGACGCTCATGTCTTCGGCGGAGGCACTACCGCAGTATAGGGCTATGATGTGGTCTTGGATGGATTGGCGGGATGGGGGTAGGGGCACGGAGTTCTCTGGGTGGGGGGTGTAGTCGACTTCGTGGGCGGTGTTGTGGGGGAGATCGGGGTGCGGTTCGATGCCGCGTTGATCGGGGTGAGGGGCCGTGGTGGGGGGCATTTTTGGGGGTGAGTTTGTACTGGGTATAAGGATGGAATCTGGGAATGTGTATAGGTGATGTGGACGAGGAGGTTAGTGTGGTTGTGTGGAATTGCGATGGAGAATATACAGGGAGACGATAGTAGGGTTGGATGTGACGTCATCAAGGTGTCAGGGAGTTGTCCAAAGTCAATTCTATATACAGTTTGGCACGTCCAATTGCTTTAAACCATTGCTTGAAATTGATCAACTCGGTCTATATGACTATTAAGGAAGTGCGTAGGCGGGGTTGGTCGTCGCCTGCGCGCTCGTAGCCCGAACAAAATAGCAGATAGCCTCCGAACAAAATATCAAATCGCCGCCCGAAAACATCAAATAACTGCCGAAAGAAAAATCAGATAGCCTCCCAATATGTGGAAACTGGGCATCTGCCGGTGCAGTAACCTGCATATTATGAAGAACTCTCCTGCGCCGTCAGACGGGCCGCGACGCTTCCTGCCGCCCGAGGGTACTGGGTAACGACTCCGATGGCACCGTAATCTCCACTCAACTCAGGCGACCCCCAACCCCCTCCTCCAGGGGTGTGGATGACGCAGCGATCGCCTGCCGCCATTTTCACCATGTTCTTCGCTCCCATATTCACCCATCGGAATACCTCCTTGTCTCCTATCTTCTCTTTCCGAACCCAATAGTTCGCTCCACACCGTCCGGGATCACCTCCGCTCATTCCATAAGGCGCAACGCTACGGCGCTCCGTGATGACACTGAAACTCAGAGGAGCACGGCACTCGATGTCTCGCACCACACCATCACCGCCCTTGTACATCCCCTTCCCTCCCGTGCCCGGACGGATGGCGAATTCCCTCAGAATAACCGGGTAGCGCTTCTCCAAACTCTCCGGATCGGTGATCCTGGTGTTGGTCATATGTGTATGCACAGCAGATGCCCCTGACCGAGAAGATGTTGCTCCTGAGCCACCGCAAATAGTCTCGCCAAACGCGTAAGCATATCCACTGAGTTTGTTGCCCTCGGCGTCTTTTCCACCCTCACCGAAAAACCCAATACAGTTCATGCAGCCGTGCGAGGCAGCAGCAGCTCGGAATGCTTTGAGGATAACATCCACGATTCGCTGGGATGTCTGGGTGTTCCCAGCACAGACAGCAGGACCTGCAGATGGGTTCAGGAAGGTGCCCTTGGGCAGGATAACGTTAATCGGTGCAAGACAACCTTGGTTCAAGGGAATATCGTCGCCAATCAGGAGACGTAAGGTGTATATAATTGCCGAGTGGGTGATGGCTGGAGGCGCATTAATATTGCTGAGTAGCTCGCAGCCAGTTCCGGTGAAGTCAAACACAGCGGAACCATCACGGAAAAGATCAATAGTGAGCTTAATCAATGAGCCATTGTCCATTCGGTCTTCCGCGACCAGGCGAGATCCCATCCGGACTAGAGTTTCTCGAAGGTGATGCCGGACGGCCCGTTCAGCGTTTAGCTGGATAGCCTTCATGTACAGCTGCACTACGGGCAGAGTGTACTCCTCGATCAAGCCTTGCACCAACGTCATGCCCTTGTGATTTGCCGCTACCTGCGCCTTCAGGTCGGAAATATTGTCCGACACATGTCGGCTCCCTGTACATCCCGGGTAATCGCCAGGACGAAGAAGAATCTCGATGATACCACGCTCGTCAAAGTTTTCTTTATGAATAAGCTTGAATGATTTGATCGCAGCACCCTCCTGCCATAGCTCAGTGGAATTCGGCGGCATGGATGTACCTCCCAAACCTCCGATATCGGTGTGGTGGCCGCGAGAGGCAACGTAGAACGCGACCTCCTTTCCAGTCTTCTCAAAAACTGGAGTTATCACAGTGATATCTGGCAAGTGTGTACCGCCTGCTTCAGGGTGGTTGGCCACCAGAACGTCACCAGGTATAAGTTTTCCCTTGTGAAGATCGTGCTGGTACTTGACTGCGTAGCTCATGGAGCCAAGATGCACTGGAACATGAGGTGCGTTCGCAACCAGTCCACCTGCGCACAGTTAGTTCCATTCTCTGGACTTCATAGTGTAGGAACATACCGTCCGGCCCGAACAATGCACATGAAAAATCCAAGCGCTCCTTAATGTTCAATGACACGGCTGTCTTTTGTAGAGCACGACCCATCTGTTCAGCGATACTCATGAAGCGATGAGCAAAAACCGAGAGTTGAATGCTATCCACAGATTTTGAATCCCGTATGATCCGGGCAGATGATGCGTCTTTGATCTCGATAACCACGTGATTACTCAAGATCCTAGCTTCTGACCCGGGAGCAACCACCAAAGTTTGCGTCTGGTCGATGATAACGGCCGGTCCGGCAATAAGTGTAAGCGGGGGCAATTTATTCAGGAGAAACACAGGCGCAGGGCATGACCCGTATCCTGGGAAATAGACCCTTGTCTGTGGCTGATTAGTGTTCCATAACGATCAAGCAGTGACAGCTAGAAGCCATACCGTTTGTTCAGCAGTATCCAGCGATAGGACACTGAAAGACGCAGTTTGCAATTCTTGACCGAGTCTTTGCCCATCAGCCCTCTCCAAGCCGCCGCAAGACCCAACACCTCGGACACGTACGTCGTCCACGATGATAGTCCTTTCGTCGGGAAACAAGAAGGCGAACTCCCGCAGATGCATCCTCTTGAACTCCTCCTTAAAATCGCCATCTGCTGGCTCCAGGACCATGATGGCCGTCTCCGTTCCTTGATATCTCATATTGAGATACTTCTGGTACGATATGTCGCCATCTGTTGTACCCTGGTCGTTTAGCTGTCGGCGCACCTTATTTTGGAGCAGTGATAGCCGGTTGAAGAGTCTGCCGCGCGATTCATCCCCATAGATTTCATTTACCGGCTCTTGGGCCTCCTGCACCAAGTCCGCGAGCGCCATTCCTGATTTATTATATTTAGCTTGTTGATCCATATGTGGGGTGCCCCTACATACCATATGCGGAAAGAATACTCGAGTACTTGTGAATAATGACCGTAGATATGCCTAGTTTGCGAGCGACGTCACAAGCATGTTGCCCACCAGCACCACCGAAAACACTTAGGTTATGGTTTGCTGGGTACACCCTTAGTCTGGCACGGAAAGATAATTAGAATAGACTTACTAATGTCATATCCCTTGCCCTCCGTCAAAGCTCGGATTGGTCGACACATAGCTTCATTGGCAACATCAAGAAACCCGCAAGCTACCTCTTCCGGACTCATTGAGTTTCTTGTATCGGAGTTAATGGTGGCTGTCAATTCTTCAAACAAGTCCTTCACTCTTCTTGAATCCAGAGGCTGGTTTTCGTTTTCGCCAAAGATCCTGGGGAAGTAATCGGGGAGCAACCGTCCGAGAAAGAGGTTTGCATCAGTCACTGTGAGAGGCCCGCCTTTTCGATAGCATGCCGGTCCAGGATGTGAGGAAGCACTCTCTGGGCCTACCGCAAAAAGGCCATTCTTCCAGGTCAAAATCGAACCACCGCCCGCGGCAACTGTATTGATGTCCAACTGTGGGCTCTGAATTGTGACTCCGGCAGTAGTACTTTCAAATATATGCTCATGGCATCCTCCGTAACGTGATACATCGGTGGACGTGCCACCCATATCAAAGCCCACTACCGGAATTTTGGATGCTTCGTCGTATGTGGTTTGTGCATACCCAACCACACCCCCTAGCAAATCAGTATCGACCATAGCCAATCGGATGAAGAGTAGTCCTCACCTGCAGGCCCACTCAGAATGCCTCTGAGACCACTGAAGTGGTTGTGGCTAACGAGGCCTCCGTCCGACTGCATAAATTCGCACCTCACACCGTCCAAGTTTCCACCTTCAAAGCCCTTGGTAAATCCTGTGAGATAGCGCTTTATCTCGGGGGTCAGATATGCATCCGCCGACGCCGAGCTGCCACGCGGTACCATCTTGATCATGTTAGCGGCAACGGCAGAGGACAAGGATACGTGTTTAAATCCCTCTTCCATGGCCAGCTGATAAACGCGGATCTCATGTTCCGGAAATATGTGGGAGTGAGTCAAGCACACAGCCAGTGTGTCCACCCCCTTACCACGGAGCTTTTGGAGTATCTTCCGGACTTGTTCCTCGTCAATTGGCTTCAGGATGCGAACCATGTTACCACTTGTGCCACGAACCAGGACACCGGGGATTTCTTCGGTGGATTTGAACAGTCCATCTACATCTTCGTCGAATCCCTCAATGGTCACTCTCGCATCGATCTCATGGACCTCGTCATACAAGACAGCTGGTTTGACGATGTTGAGCTCAAAGAGCCGAGGACGCGACTGGTAGCCAATGTTCAACAAGTCACGAAATCCCTTTGTTACTAGGAATGCGTGCCGGGTGCCTTTTCGCTCAAGTAACGCGTTGGTCGCCACTGTTGTCCCCATACGGATAAACTCGAGGTCTGTCTTGGGGAGAGGGCTACCGCGAGGGATCTCGTGGCCATAGTAGTGGGAGAGCACACGTCTTATGCCTGGAGCCATGAGCTTCCTTGCCACAACATCATCTAAGGAAAGAGGGAATTACCTTCAGTGGGTGCATCTTCGTAATTGGCTGGATCGACGGAAAGTAGTTTGTGCACTATGTCTGGCTGGCCGGGCAGACTGGCCCAAACGTCCGTGAAGGTACCACCACGGTCTAGGAGCGACGAAGCTCACAATCAGCAACTTGCATGTATCAGGGAATTCAGGGAGAATAACCGATCGCGATCTTAATCTTGCCCATAGCTGGCTGCATTATGAAACGAGGTGTTGATGTGATTCACCAACCATCCACCCCCTCTCCCCGGCGCCGTAAGCCATGGCCTTTTATAACCCCAATGAACGACGAGCGCTTGACCATTGTGATAACGGCAGGGCGTGCAGTTTCTGTAAAGTGGTATATGGATACGACGGTGTTGCGGGAACCTCACCCCGACAGTCCATTCTCGTAGTGTTTTCGCGACCGGCGCGTTGTGGGGAGGTTTGAGAAGGCAAGTCGATACGCG